CTTTGACTCTGGACTCTGGTGGTCTTCTTCGGGGAATAAACGGTCTGGGCATAACAACAGTATACTCTTATAAATGGGATGCAATTTATAATAGCATTATTATTACACAGTATATCCTTATAAACTACTAGTTATGTATTGTTTTGGTTATATAGTTTATACAGTCCCTTATGTGGTTTGGTTATACTACAACCTTGATAAGTAGGCAGGACATTCTGTAATATTGAGTGCAGAGCTGGAATTCACGCCAAAAGCATCAGACGGCAAATCTATAATTCGTCATTTTACTAATAATGAAACTGACGCTTGAAAAAGTCAGGTGACTTGGCCAAAGATATAAAGTTAATAACTGTAAGCTAATTTTGCTGTCATTAAGGAACTGATGCTATTCTAAGCTTGTTAACGTTATGAAAATACATAATGAAAAAACTCAAAATCTATCCAAAAGATAGATTCTAATTCTTTTGCTTACTTTTGAAGTCTGAATCATATGATACAGAAGATTCTTCCACTTGTACTACATAATCAGAACAGTGAAAGTAAAATCACATTTCAAAGGATAATTTAACTAAGTGTGTTTTCCCTAGGATAAAAAGGTAACTAAGTTTCTTTAGAGGGAAATTAACTGTATCTAAAAAGTAATACTTGAGTATATCATAATACCACAAGTTTCAATTACTGTTTTTATGTTATTCAAAACCAAAACAAGTATATGTCAACCACTGCATATTGGCAACTACCCCTTTTTAGTGAACCATGGAAATTGATAAGTGTTAGGTCCTAGGTCAATTTTTAATGTCAAACACAGTAAGTGATGTGATTTTAATCAACTTCAGAGTAGCTTAATGCTTATACTTCCCCCCCACCTCAGTTTATCCCATTAGCTTAAGATATTTGGGAAAGGTGGAGGAACATATTAGAGTAATTCAGAATTCAACAAAGTACTCAAAGCTTTAAGTATAAATATCCCATATAAATAAATCGGGGATTTAACTGTTTTATCCTAACAGTTTAGAAATGGCATTTTTGAGTGCCAAAGGGAAATTCCAAAAGGACTCTTAGAAAAACTGTAATAAATTTTTAAATGTGAGAACACAGTCATTTGAAAATATACATAATCTACATTTTTAGCAATGCTAGTTCTGTTGTTGGATTTACATAAATTTGTTTGTGTCAAGTTTCTTTCTCCCTGTTGTATGGGATACATCTAAATGGAAACAAAACTGAGTTCAAAGGCATAATGAGTATACTTCTCTCTTCTTAAATTCAATATATTTTTATTTGATTTTAGAAATAATGAGAAACCAATGATGGTGACTGCACCAGCTGTGACACTATGAGAGAATGCCTTAATAGTATAGCTTTGGCTGTAATGCAAAGATTGGAAAGTACAATTACAGAGATAGGAGGGTATTAGAAGTTAGAGATGGGTATGTGTTATAATAGTCTGCATCAGGTGAGAACTTTATAAAAGCTAAGATTCCGGGGTAATACCCCTGGAATTCTGAGTCAACAGGTATAAAGCTAGTCCTCTTAATTCTAGTTGAAATGCTAAACATCAATAACTTGTAGGAAGTTAAAGCATCAAAGGGAGAATATCCTTGATGTTGATCCTTTTAGAAGAGTATCAGAAACCCATAAAAATTATAAGCAGATGCTTCATTTTTACCACAAATGGATACCGACTCACCTGGATCAGTGTCATATTTTAGGTCCAGTGGATGTACAACAGGGTGGTACTGCTTCTAAACATAACATAAATTAAAACAGATTTAATCACTTAATGCTTCATATAAACATCTCTTTCAGCTAATATGGCAAATATACTAGAATAAATAGTACCATTCTTTTGAGGAAAAAAATTAAATCCTACTATCTGCAGGGAAGAGAAGGGGAGAAGGTAAAACCAGTCAAACTAAGTCTGAATTATGTCTTTTACAGTACTGCCACCTACTGCATACACTGAGAAGTGGCACCATAAAAAAGTATCAGAAGAAGCAATCAAGCAAATTAAAAGCACAGAGACTGAATGTTATGTTTAAAGTACAGGGTAGTCTCCAATTGTGAACTGACTATGTTTCAAAAGTTCATTCAGGACAAGCGTTTGGAACTCAAAATGCATATTTCCATGAAAACTTGGTTCTAAAAGGTGGTGAGGCTACATTACCACCACACTAAGCCTATATATCCTGTGACACACTGAAATTATAGTAGCAGAATTACTGGCACAGAATCTACAATTCAGGCAAAAAGAAAGAGGAAAATGCTCTTCCTTATTCTTGTCCAAAGCCAGCAGAAGCCAAAAAGGTTAAAAGAAAGAAAACAAGAAGAAAAAAAAGGTCTTCTGCCAGCTGTGGTGACTCACACTTGTAATCGCAGCACTTTGGGAGGCCCACGCAGGAGAATGTCTTGAGCTCAGGAGTCTGAGACCAGTATGGGCAACAAGGAGGGAAGAAGGGAGGAAAGACACAGGGCATGGCAGGGCAGGAAAAAATTTTAAAAAGGTCTTTGGTATCCTCACCTCATCCATTTTGCACTATTTTTTAAACTACCATAGCAGTACCTCACCTAGGCCAACCGTCTTTCTTTTCTGCAATATAGATGACTAGCTTTGGGGGCTTGGGGGCAGTGGGGCAGTAACAAGCGAGACACTGAAAAATACACTTTGAATGTTTTTCCTGAAAAAAACTTCCAAGTAGGAGGGGTCGGGGAAGTGATGGAATGGGGTATTTGAGAACTGCTATAAAAAAAAGTTAAAAATTCTGCTCATGAATATTGTTTTTCACAGAATAACTAATATGTTTTAGATACAATATTAAACCAGGCATATAATGCCCTGAAACAATCCTGAAACCGAGGCAACTAGAAGATTTATATGTGAATGTTTATGTACTAATTTCAAAAACTAAAGGCAAAGTATAGCATAATCTAAACACAACATGTACCTCACTGGAGGGACAATGCTATTCCCAGCAAACCTCCCCTCCCTACCAAGGGAAGATTTGGGTCCAATTTTCATGTGGATTTCCTATTTCCTACTGATTATTTTACCAGATTTCCTAACAAATCTGAAAAGATGAGGGTGTGATATGGTTGGTCACTGGTATCTACAGTAATTATAAGAAGGAAGTCTATGACTCTGCTTGTCTAAAAAGCTCATGCCGAAGGCGCTGAATTCCTGGTCTTGTGACCCAGATGGTTATGATTTTTGCAGCAAAACAAATTACGCCCAATTCATAAAGCAAATTTCAGTGTTATGAACAGGTACTAAAACAATCTCATCATCAATTTAACTAAAGGGCCTTCCAAAATATACAAACATATAAATATATGCCAAAAACAAATGACAAACAAAGAAAAGTGTTGAAAGAAAAGCTTCTTTTTCCATCCTGGTCTCAGAATCATAAAGTCATTGTCAATCTTCCATCGCCAATTTCAATTTTAACCACTCACTATATCTTTCATTTTTTTCAGTTTTGAACCAGTGTGTTCAAAACACAGTATAGTATGACTATACTATGTCATAGTACAATTTAGAAGAGGAAAGTCTTATAAGAGACAAACAATACTAATTGAGGCAGGAAAGAAAAAGGCAACAAAATGTCACTTATCTCCACGTAGAGCCTTATATTTTAATGTTTTTACTGTGGTAAAATATACGATAACATTTTAAAGGCAAATCATCTTACCAGAATTTCTTGTTTTGCTTTTATGGTTTTGATGACACATTCCAGGATCTTTCTGGGATACTGCTTACGTTTTGTGGCTATATCTACTATGATTTCATCAAACTGATCTTCAAGTACTTTGATGTCAGAATCTATTTAAGAAAAAAAAAAAATATATAAAAAGTTCCCTAAAACTCATGGTTTATATTCTGTATGGAAATGTGCTATAAACTAAATTTAGAAAACACAAAATAATAAAGGAAAACAAATATGGCAAGTTAATGAATGCCCCCACTTCGGTGATTAATTTATTTATGCATTGAACAATCAATTATTGAACATCTATAAGAAGCTAGGCCTAAACAAGAGAAATACAAAGATGAGCACAACATGATTCCTACTCTCTAAGAGTTCACAGTTTGCTGAAAGAAACAGGTAATTGCAAAGCAAACTGATAAAAGCAATAGAGGTATGAACAAAATGCCATCAGGACACAGAACAATGGAAAACTGACTGGGAAAGGTAAGACTTTAAAGAAGTAACATTTGAACTTGAAATAGAAGTGTAAGTCCAATGGATAAAAAGTGGTAGGGGGAAAAAAGGAATAAAGAGAAGCATTTTAGGCAGTGGAAACAGTATTTGCAAGATCCTAATCTTTGGAGACCTGAGAAAAGTTCTAAATGGCTACAGAATAAAGGAAAGGAAAAATGGATGATAAAATATATAAGAACCAGGCTGTAAAGGGTATTTAATATCAGGGATGCTAAGAAGTTTTGACTTATCATGTACTGATCCAAAGCTATGACAGTAGCAGTGAGTGGAGTAACTAGATCTGAAATAGGACTCAACTGGATTGATGATAGGAAAAACTGAAAGATACAGTGAGTTTAGAGTTTCTTTCATTTAGCTAACTCTACTTTCTCATACGCTTTTTCATGTTTTAAAACAGTGATTCTCAAACGTTAGAAGAAACACCTAACGAGTATGTTAGGAGTACAGATTTCTTTTTTTTCTATATACTTTAAGTTCTAGGGTACATGTGCACAACGTGCAGGTTTGTTACATATGTATACATGTGCCATGTTGGTGTGCTGTACCCATTAACTCGTCATTTACATTAGGTATATCTCCTAGTGCTATCCCTCCCCCCTCCCCCTACCCCACGACAGACCCCAGTGTGTGATGTTCCCCACCCTGTGTCCAAGTGTTCTTATTGTTCAATTCCCACCTATGAGTGAGAACTTGCAGTGTTTGGTTTTCAGCAGTACAGAATTTTGATTCAGTAAGTCTGAGATGGGGCCCAGAAACGAAGCACCCTAGACGAAAGGAATGTAGGTGAGCCATCTAACTTTATTTTGAAAATCATTTTAAACAGTAAAAATATTAAGTAATTACAAATACTAAAGAGCTAAGTTTTCAGGTTAAATGGTCCTCATATTGCCCTTTTGTGTCAAAGTCTATGCTAGAAATGGACTTATTTATTTTATTGATCACAAGCTTTATTAGGAAGAAATCTAACATCTGAAACATAATTTTTTGAAACATTTTGAGAAACTGCTGATATGTTTTGGTATATACATATCAGATAAAGATAATCAAGTATATCAGGTATAGTCTTTCATTCATGTAACAAATATTAATTGAATTCCACTAAATTAGTTCGAGGGTACCCTTTTTTTCCTTTTTCTTTCTCTTTCCTTCCTTCCTTCTTTCTTTCCCTTTCCTTCCCATTCATTCTCCCTCCCTTCTTTCCTTCCTTTCCTTCTTTTCTTTCCTAGATAGACACACAGATTGATTTTCAATAGCTTTTGGGGTACAAGTGGTATTTGGTTACATGAATGAATAGTACAGTGGGGAAGTCTGAGATTTTAGTGCACTCATCACCCAGTAGTATACATTGTGAAAGTACCCTTCTTTTGAGGACAAGAAATAACAGTTATCTCTTACTTTGAATAATTATTTATATAAGCAGCCCTCCCTAAATTTTCATTTATCCATTGAAAAAGTTAAATAATTAGCCTGAAGAATGTACTATTTCACAATTAGTACCAAAAAAAAAAAAAAGTCTCCAGGAAAATCCTTTCTTAGCACCACCCAATGATAAAGCTACAACTAAAATGCATAACAAAATTTGAACAGGAGCCAGGCGAAGACCCGTAATCCCGACACTGGGAGGCCAAGACAGGCAGATCACCTGAGGTTGAAAGTTCGAGACCAGCCTGGCCAACATGGTAAAACCCTATCTCTGTTAAAAATACAAAAATGAGCTGGGCGTGGTGGCAAGCACCTATGATTCCAGCTGCTTGGGAGGCTGAGGGATGAGAATCTCTTGAACCTAGGAGGTGGAGGTTGCAGTGAGCTGAGATCGCGCCACTGCACTCTAGCCTGGGTAAGAGTGAGACTCTATCTAAAAAGAAAAGAAAAATTGAACAGGAAAGAATTATTCATTAATTTAATATATTTCATAGGTGCCTACTATAAGCCAAGAGTTGAGAACAAGATCAGGCGCAGTGGCTCACATCTGTAATACCAGCACTTTAGGAGGTTGAAGCTAAGAGTTTAAGACCAGCCTGGGCAGCATGATGAAACCCTGTCCTCTACCAAAAATACAAAAAGTTAGCTAGGCAAGGTGGTGCATGCCTGTAATCCCAGCAACTCGGGAGGCTGAGGCACAAGAATCACTTTAACCTGGGAGACAGAGGTTGCAGTGAGCCAAGACTGTGAAATTGCACTTCATCCTGGATGACAATGAGACTTCATCTCAAAAAAAAAAATTGTTTTTTTAAGGAGCCTTCTACAAAGATGTAACCACATCCTTTACATGGTACTTGTATAACTTAACTTCACACTTTCAAGGGTATTTCACTATTCACTCTAGAGATCACTTACAAAAATACAACTTGCTTTGTAAATAATTACAGAAATTCCCTGGGCCTCTTTTGTCATCTGGAGATAGCTCTACGGTATTTTCCAATAAACTATTGACAAAGAAGATTACTGAAGTCATAATCTCAGTTCTTTTTTTTATTTTCCAGCCCAGAGGTCTTTTATTTATTTATTTATTTTAACACCTATTATGCCATGAATTCATAGGGAATAGGTTCCAGCAGCTCAGGCTCCTTCCCATTGGTTCTCACAAAGTGTGCTTCTCTGGGTGGAGCAGGCTGGCGCTTCAGTTGAACCCAGGTACCTTTCTCTTTGGCTTCTTTCTTTTTCTGATCATTTTCCTTCACGCGTTTCAGGAAGCTACATCAGCTCTTAGAGTGCTTAATATGCTCAATACGCACATTAATTAAGAATCTTGCCCTTAACTTGTTTGTTTACAACAATGCCAACAGCATGCTGGGGAACACTGTAGACTCTTCCAGTTTCGCCATGGTAACACTTGTGGGGCATTCCTTTTTGAACAGTACCCATTCCCTTGATGCTACGATATCACCTTTCTTATAGATTCCCATATACGTTGCCAAAGGAACAACTCCATGTTTTCTAAAAGGCTTAGAGAACATGTATCGGGTGCCTCTCCTCTTTCCCTTTGTGTTCATCATTTTGGCGAATTATTGGAAGATGGCAGTTCCGGCCGAAAGATAATCTCAGTTCTTTATTATTCCCCTAGTAAAGAACTTCTTGAAAATAAATAACACTAAATATGGAAATTAAAAAACAGCATTCAAAACAAAATTAGCTGCAAAAATAACCCAGAAATTAATAATAGAAGGAAAAAGTCACATACCCATAAAACAATTATCTGAAGCTTCCTGCCATGCTTGTCCATTAATGCTGATATTCTCTTGCACAGCTGATTCAAAAGTCTGCAATAAATTCACAGTAGTCAAGTCACTAAAAATAATTTTAAATACTAAATTCAAACGTTTTGGCAAAATAACACTTCCAGATTTGTGACAGAGGAAATAAAGAAAAGTAGCAGAATAGCTAATTAGTATATTTATTCTTTTCAATGAAGATTCCAGTTCAATCATTGATTCCACCTGCACTTTTGGTCTCATAGCCATTATGCTACCCAAGAGAAAATCTGATACAAAAATTTGGAATATTCTTATAAACAAAAAAAAAGTTCCTAGAATGAAAAAAAAATCTAACAAATTTAGGCTCAGTTGAATCTCGGGAGTATAAGTACTACATATGCTGCTGAATGACTGTTGATGTTAACAAGAGGAAAAATATACATGCTTAAAAATAAAATTAATTTATATTTTATAAAGGGCTATATTTTGGAGAGATGAACACTTATATAGGGATGAAATGACATGAGATCTAAGATTTGCTTTAAAATAGCAAATGTAGGCCAGGTGCAGTGGCTCACGCCTATAATCCCATCACTTTGGGGGGCCAAGGCAAGAGAATTGCTTGAGGCCAGTTCCAGACCAGCCTAGGCAACACTGTGAGACACCCTTCTCTACCAAAAATTTTAAAAATTAGCCAGGCACAGGTGCACATGCCTGTAGTCCCGGCTACTTGAAAAGCTGAGGCTAGAGGATTACTTGAGCCCAAAAGTTTGAGGTTATGGTGAGCTATGATTGCCACTGCACTCCAGCCTGGGAGACAGAGGGAGAAGCAACTGTAACAAACTTTTGACAACTGTTGAGTTTGGTGGTGGATATATGGGTGTTCACTGTACTAAACTAATTTTTTATAAGGTTGAAAATGTTCACAATACATTAAAAGATAAAGAACTAAAAAACAAAAACAAACAAAAAATAGACAAATTGGCCTTCATCAAAATTTTTTTTAAATAATGAAGGACTAAAGGAATTTGGCAGTACACATTTCCTATTAGCCAATAATTTCACTTCTAGCAATGTATCCTAAAAGACTACTCTCATAAAAACACAAAGAGAATGTGATGTTCATTTCAGCACTGTTTGAAATTTTTTTAATTGTGGGAAAAAACCTAAATTCAAAATTAGACAAGTTAAATAGACAATATTCATACCACACAGTACCTAAAAAGAATGAAGACAATCTCTACATAACACTAACAAGTTACAGTCAGATACGTTTGGTTTCAAAAAAGGCGGGTCAATAACAGTTCATCAGCACGACACTATTAATGGAGACAAACATAAACAGAGAGAAAGAGGTAAAGCCACAGAAAGGGGGTATAGAAAGTTTTCTCTCCCCAGGTACTCTCCAAAATAGTACATTATGTCCTAGAAGGAAGAGGGCTGGGGAAGGGGAACTCAAAGAAGAATTTTGCTTTATGCTATTGTTTGAATTTTTTATGAGCATATATTTTGTACCCTTTGTATAATTAAAAATAACATAAACCAAATGACTGATAATTATAAGTTAAAGTACATATTCTACATTTCAAAGATTTCATAAAGTAAATTCCTTATTTTATGGTTTTGTTTTTTGTTTTTTTTTGAGATGGAGTTTCACTCTTGTCAAGCAAAGCAGGCTGGAGTGCAATGGCACAATCTTGGCTCACTGTAACCTCTGTCTCTCAGGTTCAAGCGATTCTCCTGCCTCAGTCTCCGGAATAGCTGGGATTACAGGCAAGCGCCATCACACCCGGCTAATTTTTGTATTTTTAGTACAGACAGGGTTTCACCATGTTGGCCAGGCTGGTCTCGAACTCATGACCTCAGGTGATCCACCCACCTCAGCCTTAAAAGCGCTGGGATTACAGGTGTAAGCCACCATGCCCGGCCTATGTATGTTTTAGAAGTACTTTCAAGAATTGCTGAGAAAACATATTGTCTTTGTAATATTCATTGCAGACTGCTACCAATACTGTTTTTAAAGAAAATCTGCTACTTAATATGCAGTTTTAAACAGAGATACAACATAAAACTTCTGCTTTATTTAAAATAAAACACAAGTGAATTCCTGTGGTAGTCTAAGCCCTGGAAACTTAATCTTATAATTCACTTTATCATCCCACTAAATAGGATATAATAGGTTAAGCCAAGTTCCTCTTTTTCTGTAAGATACCTAAATGTTTTAAATACCTTAGCACTTCCTAGAATCAGACAAATTCTAAGATCATTATACAACAAAAGTCTTCTCCCAAAAAAAGATGTCCTGAGATATATCCCTATTCTTGCCTTGCTTGCAAGGAGGGAATGACATGAGTCACTATATACAAAACTACATACAGAGTCACAACCCAGAAGTATTTCTTCATTCTTCCACTTAACCTTTTTTTTTTTTTTTTAAGTGTTTCTTCATTCTTCCACTTAGCCTTTTGTTTTGTTTTGTTTTTTGTTTTTGAGACGGAGTCTTGCTATATTGCCCAGGGTGGAGTGCGGTGGCACGATCTGGCTCACTGCAAGCTCCGCCTCCCTGGTTCACACCATTCTCTTGCCTCAGCCTCCTGAGTAGCTGGGACTACAGGTGCTTGCCACCATGCCCGGCTAATTTTTTATTATTATTATTTTTTTTTTAGTAAAGACGGGGTTTCACCGTGTGAGCCAGGATGGTCTCGATCTCCTGACCTTGTGATCCGCCCACCTCGGCCTCCCAAAGTCCTGGGATTACAGGCGTGAGCCACCGCCCGACCCCCTTTGCCTGTTTTAGAGTGAAAACATTTTCTTTACAAGACTAAAATACGTTTAAAAAAATTGTGTTGGTTGAAAACTTTACTATCTACGATCACATATTTGCCCTTATACCGCATTTCCCCAGCCTTTCTTAAATATTTTTGCAAAGCCCTGAAGGTGGTAGTTTTTTGGGAAGACAAGAAAGAAAGGGATTGTGTGCTTCCTTATAACAGGCATCAATCTACTTATAGGTAGGGGAAAAAAATTAAAAGCTCATAATACAACACATTTGTGAGTTATGAAAGACCACAGCGCAAACATTAAAAATAAAGGTTAATAGGCCTGGCGAGGTGGCTCACGCCTGTAATCCCAGCACTTTGGGAGGCCAAGGCGGGCGGATCACAAGGTCAGGAGATCGAGACCATGCTGGCTAACACAGTGAAACCCTGTCTCTACTAAAAATACAAAAAATTAGCCGGGCGTGGTGGTGGGAGCCTGTAGTCCCAGCTACTCGGGAGGCTGAGGCTGGAGACCGGTGTGAACCTGGGAGGTGGAGCTTGCAGTGAGCCGACATCCAGCCTGGGCGACTGAGCGAGACTCCGTCTCAATCAATCAATCAATCAGGCAAAAGGAAAGACCAAATGCTGGTTGGGTGAATGGCTGACTTCCAGAATTACCCTTTCCAGGAGAATTCCTCATTGTCTAGGGCTGCATTGTCCAACAGGTGAGCCACCAGCCACTTTGTAGTTACTGAGCACTTAAATGTAGCTAGTTCAAAAGATGTGCCATAAATGCAAGACACCAGATTTGAAAAAGCTTAGTACGAACAAAATAACGTAAAATATCTCATTCATTTGATATTATTACATGTTAAAATATCTTGGATTTATTGGGTTAAACAAAATGTTTTATATCCATTAATTTCACCTATTTCTTACTTTTAGTTTAAAACTACATAAGGATTAGCTTGCCTTGTATTTTCACTGTACAGCGCTGGTCTAAGTAATTAATAAGACCCAGCTGATATTAGCATAGATTTCTTTCTCCCCTCGCGTTTATCCGACTGGTTCTATAGTAGTCTGGGGCACCGTTAATTCTGCCAAGGCCTGGCGTGGGGATCTTTCTGAATCCTAAGATCCTGGGTGTTGGGTAAGGGGGTGATAAGTAAAGAAGTGGCTAACTGGTCCCGTACCCACTGCGCATCTCGCAGCGCGGGCTCCCGAATCTCCTCCGGCAGAGCGTCCCCGAGCTTTTGCACAAAGCGGCCGCACAGTTGTAGCATTTCGGTCACAGCCCGCTTCGAGGTGCAGCGCACCCGAAAGTCCTCTCGGGGAGTGGCGGAGACCAAGGCCTGACTCTCTGTCCCCGTCGCTAGCTCCCTGTCCCATGGGGGGTCAAGGACCACCAACTCAGAAGACCCCGCCATTTTTCGTCTGAACGAGGGGCGGGGCACTCTGGGAGCGGAAAAGTGGGTTTCCACTGGTGTAACTAGCATGCATCCGGCTGGAAACTCAGGACGCTGCAGCTGAAACGTTCCGGCTGCGGCTCTGCGGGCGCGTCTAAGGCCGCGGCCGCGGGGGCGCAATGGGAGCGGCGCGCGTAGGGTTGGTGGACTGTCACTGCCACATCTCCGCCCCGGACTTTGACCGCGTATGTGAGGGCGATACGGGGCCCGAGGGAGCGGGGATGCCCCCGTCCTTTCCCCTCGTGTTATCTTTGCTCTCCTCCCTTGGGATGAAACCCCATATCCCCCGCCCAGACCCTTGTTTATGGCCATATGACCTGCCCCTCATTTCCCTATTCCCTATTTAACCTCAGACATACCGATTTTTTTAATTTATTTATTTTTTTGTGATTCAGTCGCGGTAAGCTATTTCCACAAGGCTTTTGTTTGCTCTTCTGAGTTCCTGAAATCGTTCTCCCACCTGCCCTTGGCTGGCCTGTTTTTCCTCTCGGGCCTGTCACCTCCTGGCTGAGATGCCACTTTTCGTGGGAAGCGGTCCTCGAAACGCGTTCAAATCCGGGAGAGGTCGGGCGCGGGCTCACGCCTGTAATCCCAGCACTTTGGGAGGCCAAGGGGGGCGCGGCGCATCTCCTGAGTCTAGGAGATCGTGACCAGCCTGGGCAACATGTTGACACCTCAGTCTCTACAGGAAAAAAAAAAAAAAAAAACAGAAATTAGCTGGGGATGGTGGCGCTTGCCTGTGGTCCCAGCTACTCCGGAGGCTGAGGTGGGAAAATCGCTTGAGCCCAGGAGGTGGAGGTTGCAGTGAGCTGAGATCACGCCTCTGCACTCCAGCCTGGGTAACAATGAGACCCTGTCTCAAAAGAAAGAAAGAAAGAAAGAAAGAAAGAAAAAGGGGGAAAGAGGAAGGGGAAGGGGGAAAAATTTCACAAATGGGGGAGAGAGGCAAACAAAAAAAAATACATGGCCGGGTGTGGTTGCTCTCACTTGTAATCCTAGCACTATGAGAGACCGAAGCGGGTGGATCGCTTGAGCCCGGGAGTTTGAGACCAGCCTAGGCAATGTGGTGAGAGCCTGCCTCAATTAAAATAACTGTTTTACCCATTACATGGGAAACTAGAGACTAACAATAGAGGAGTAAGGGGGGTTTTATTTCAGGGGGAAATCCTCCCAGGAGCTTACACTTAAGGCTGAGAAGACAAGGAGCCACCCAAGCAAGGGGCTGAGTGTATGCTAGTTAGGGAAACAGGTTGCAGGCCCCCAGACAAGCTAGAATTTGGCACATTTCAGTTGCCAAAAAGCTGAGTGGAGCTTGATGAGCTAGAAAGAGAAAGGCATGAAACAAAACTGGGGAGGTTTGCAGGGGATAGATGAGGTGGGTCAGTAAGGAATTTGGATTGCATTTGAAGCACAATGTGGATTCATTAAAGGGCTTTTTAAATTTTTTATTTATTTTTATTTTTTAGATTGAGTCTGCCTGTGTCCCCCAGGCTGAAGTGCAATAGCACGATCTCAGGTCGTTGCAATCTCTGCCTCCTGGGCTCAAGCAATTCTCCTGTCTCAGCCTCCCAAGTAGCTGGGATCATGGGTGTGCGCCACCACACCTGGCTAATTTGTATTTTTTGTATTTTTAATAGAGACAGGGTTTCGTCATGTTGTCCAGGCTGGTCTTGAACTCCTGGCCTCAAGTGATCAACCCTCCTTGACCTCCCAAAGTCCTGAGATTACACAAAAATGGATAGGCATGATGCTATCCATTTTAACACCATTTTGCTGCTGTATGGCAAATGGATGGAGAAGAGTGGAAGCTATAAGACTAGTTAGGAGGCTTTTGCAGTATATAGGCAAGAGATGTTGGCTGTTGGTACTATGATGATAGCAGGTGAGTTTGAGATAAATACATGGATTCAAGATACATTTTAGAGACAGAATCCACAATAAGTGCTGAAGAATTGAATGTGGCTAGCAAGGGAAAGGGAGGAATCAAGGATGACTCAGATTATTAGCTTGTGCTATAGGGAAGATGGTGGTGCTGGTTTACTGAGAAAAGGGAAGACCAAGGTCTGAAGTGGAGGTGGGGAGGTCAGCAGAAGGAATAGGTTTGTGAAGAGAAAATGAAGATTTATGTTTGGGGCATATTGGGAAACCTAATCCCATGCAAATGGAGATGTCATAATTTTTTAATGTGAGTCATAGGTTCAGGAGAGAATTATAAGCTAAAGATAAAAACTGGGGACTCAGGCTGGGTGTGGTGGCTCACACCTGTAGCCCCAGCACTTTGGGTGGCCGAGGTGGTGGATCACCTGAGGTCATGAGTTCAAGACCAGCTTGGCCAACATGGTGATACACCATCTCTACTAAAAATACAAAAATTAGCTGGGTGTGGTGGCGGTCGCTTGTAATCCCAGCTACTCTGGAGGCTGAAGCAGGAGAGTCACTTGAACCTGGGTGGCAGAGGTTGCAATGAGCTGAGATCGCACCATTGCACTGCAGTTGGGAGACAAGATGAAACTTCATCTCGGGAAAAAAAAAAATACAAAAAAAAAAAACTGGGAACTCAGCATAATGATGATATTAAAACCATGAGAGGAAGTGAGATCACTCAAGGCAAGTGCAGAAAGAGGAGCAGAGGTTCTAGAATCCAGAAAGTGGAAGGGGAGCCAGTCAAGGAGACTGAAAAGTAGCCACCAATGAGAGAGTGGTATTGCAGAAGCGAAGAGTGGAAACCATTTCAAGAAGGAAGGAGTAAGCAAATGAGAGATTCTAAATGCTACTGAGGAGTAGAGTAAGATGAGGACAGATAAATACCCTGTATATTTGACAATAGAGGCTTCTGTTTTAGTGGTGGGAACAGAAGCCAGACTTTACTGAGAGTAGGAGTAAACAGGAGGTGGATCAGTGTAGGCTCTTTGCTTTCCACTACTCCATTCGTTGCTATCATTGTCATTCTTTGTGATGCCACAACTGCATTGACATATACAGTCCAAGATTAGTTGCTTAGTATCTAAAATAATGGTGATTTCTTATGCTTGTTTTAGGATTTGGATGATGTGTTGGAGAAAGCCAAGAAGGTAAGTCAATATTTGTAATTGCTCTTTTGGTTTTTTATTTTAACTATCATTTCAAGCAAAAACAGCTTGAAATTTAGATATACTACCTTGATGTTGTTTCAGTAGTTTATAGTAAGTAGCATTTTTTATTTTTATTTATTTATTTATTTATTTATTGAGATGGAGTCTCGCTCTGTCGCCCAGGCTAGAGTGCAGTGGCACGATCTCAGCTCACTGCAACCTCCACCTCCCAGGTTCAAGTGATTCTCCTGCCTCAGCCTCCTGAGTAGCTGGGACTATAGGCACGTGTCACTGCACTCAGCTAATTTTTGTATTTTAGTAGAGACAGGGTTTCACCATGTTGGTCAGGCTGATCTCGAACTCCTGACCTCAGGTGATCTGCCCACCTCGACCTCCCAAAGTGCTGGGATTACAGGAGTGACCCACTGCAACCAGCCAGTGTTTATTATTTATAATTAAAATAGAGACAAGGTCTAACTATGTTGCCCAGGCTGGTGTCAAACTCCTGAGCTCAAGCAATCTACCCACCTTGGGCTCCCAAAATGCTAGGATTATAGGTATGCGGCACTGCTCCCAGCCTAAGGAGCATTTATTAAGTGTTTGCTACATGCCAGACACTGAACTAAGGCCTTTCTCAACTTTACCTCATTCAATGTTTCACAGCAACCTTCTGAGGAAATTACTAATTTGTAGCCAACCATTCCCCATTTTTATAGATGAGGAATCTAAGGTCTAGGGATTAGTAACTGGTCCAAAGACATATGCTAGTGAAGTGATGGAGACGAGTTAGTCTGAATTCAAAATATGTTCCTATAGCTACCATGCTCAACAGCGCTATGGAACAAATTGGTCCATCTTTCAGTTTTTAAATTCACATGATTCTGGAGATCTGGGTTATATTATGAAAGTTTTCTGAAATGTTTTGATTTGCTTAGAAAAAGTATTTTTTTTTTTTGGAAGTGTTTATGAAATTCACTGTAACTAGCATTCTGTGACCATCTCAGAAAATAATACAGCCAGAAATGGTTGTAGTGCATTTTTACATACAGGTAACTTTCACTGTGGCACTTAATTAGGAATGTGGGCTTTGGACATATATAGACCTGATGACCCTGAGCAAGTTATTTGACATCCAGAACTCTGTCTCCTGATCTATACAGTAGACTACAGCCTACTTTACAGGTTTCTGTAAATTAAATGAGGCAATATTTATATTGACTGAACATAGGGCTCGAAACATAGTAAATACTCAATGATAGCCCTTCTGATTGTATTGATGAAGCATGGGTGAACAAGGATAACTAAAATGCAGAGAAAACTTTAAATTTTGATATATTTATATTAAATGTATATTGTTTGGAACTCTATTCTTTTTTTTTTTTTTTCAGGCCAATGTTGTGGCCCTTGTGGCAGTTGCCGAACATTCAGGAGAATTTGAAAAGATTATGCAACTTTCAGAAAGGTGCTACTTTTAATTAGGATTTTAAAGGGTTGCTAATAAGAACACAGTTATGACATCCAGTTTATAATATCAAAGATCCATTTTTAATGAGAATAAAGAGGAAAAAGCATTTTAGCATAGCCCTGAAAAGAGATTATTTTCTACTCATTCTTTTTTTTTTTTTTGAGAGATGGAGTCTTGCTGTGTCACCCAAGCTGGAGTGCAGTGGCGCAATGTCAGCTCACTGCAACCTCTGCCACCTGGTTTCAAGCAATTCTCTGCTTCAGCCTCCCAAGTAGCTGGGACTAAGGCATGTACCACCAGGCCTGGATAATTTTTGTATTTTTTGTAGAGACAGGATTTCACCATGTTGGCCAGGCTGGTCTCAAACTCCTGGCCTTAAGTGATCCACCTGGCTCAGCCTCCCAAAGTGCTGGAATTACAGACATGAGCCACCATGCCCGGCCTCTACTTATT